CCAGCCGCCTGACGTCAGTCAAGCGCGGCTCATGAATTGGACACGAGAAGTGCGTGAGCACTCGACTTCGGCTCGTCACGATCAGTGCCTCGGCGGACTCTCGGGTAATGGCTCGCGTCCATCCACTGCGGCGATCTCGAACAGTTCATGGAGCTGGGCACGCGTCTTCTACTGTGCCGACCCGAAACGCGTGGGTGCGATTAACGCTGGCGGCATAGTATAAGCCACGTGGCCACTTGTTCTGGCTCCGAGTTGAGGCCCGTGGTTCAGGGGATGAACGATGATCATATTTCTCGAATTAGTCTGGCGACTGCCATTGCCTAGAAAGAAAAACTCGGGCAAGTTTATTCACTTATCAATGTTTGGGAATGATTCCAAGTAATAAGTTTCAGCGATGGTGGTACCGCGGTGTGAGAATCGTGCTCCCTAGCTCCTGGAGATTCGGCTTCGCAATAAAGGTGCTTGCCCACACCTCCCTGACGGGAAGAAATAAAGCAAGGCTCCGATACTGCTCGTATGATAGCAAAACTAGAATTACTCACGCGTCGCAGACCCAGCGTCGTACTGGAGTTCAACGACCATCATCCAGATGACAGCCATTTTGATAGGCGCCAGTGGACCCCTTATAGGTCGTGAAAGTTGCGAATTTAGCATTTATGTCCGAATTTTTTTTTTTTTTTTTATTTGTTCCACGATTGACTGGGAGGTGGCCAGAGATGCCCGACGAGCTTTCTGCCCCTTTAACACTCTTAGTATAAGGCATTTTATATTGTTTTGAGAAAAAAATATATAAGCAATTTAAAAAATACAAATGTGTGCAATAATTACGCGATACAAAAAGATGGCAGGTAATTTCGCGGTACAAAAAGATAACAACAGTTGTTCGTACGCAAAAATATTATTCGTGATACGGTGTAATACGTGTTAACATAGATACCAGGCAATGTTTCTGTCCACCAAAATCGCCTTCCGTTTAAATGTAAATTTAATAAAAGTGTAATATAGGCATGGATCGGGTTTTTGATAGTGTTTAGGAGTTTGACGACGTAAAAATATTTATTTTCATTACCATAATTTATGGACATTTCGGGAGATCACCTGATCTTATGTCTAAAAGTGTTAACTTTAACGAAACATGGTTGGATTATAGTCGTTTCTTAAAGCTACATGATTGTATAAACGATGCATGTTATGATGTGCTGAGTTCAGACTAATCACACTCTAACCGGAGCAAGCTGTCGCTGTAGCTTTATTACTTTGCAACAGTGACATAACTTTGCACCACACCTTGCACATGCCACCAAAACCAGCGAGACATACACAGATCGAACGTAAGTTTACCCAATACAAATGTAATCACTGAAATCGCAAATCAGGCAATTAGAAAAGTAGGACACCACTGTGTACCAGATAGTACAATCCAAATCTTGACGCCAATGTAAAAAAAAAAAAAAAAAGACAGTAAACAATTTTAGTAGATCATGCGAAGTTATATGTTTAGCGATGTTATCCGAGTCTTTGACCCCATAAATCGTAGCACAGAGCTGCGCACCGGGAACTTTAGCAGTCAGCTACCCTCCGGAAACACCTGCCGCTAACGCCCGTGCATCGTTCAATCTTTTTTACCCGAGCACGCTCCGAAAGGCGAGGTAGATTCCTATCGGCCGACTGCATTCCGCATTCGAATTTTTTCAGAATCTCGCGGATCGTTTGAGGTTGGTCTGTCTCCCGCAGTCCCGATTCCAGAGATTTGCCCAACAATAGCAGCAAAAAGAGAAATGCATCGAGCGTTCGGGTCCGTGAAACCAACGACCTAAAAGAAAGTCCAGTTCTTGAACTTATCTGATCTCGCGTCAAGCTTGCGTGGACGTTGGAGCGCCAGCAGCGCTTGAACGACGTGAACGACAATCGCATTTCTGTACGACAAACCGGACCCTGAGTAATTCGAACCAAGGACTCCGCAGAAACAGGCTTGCCAGAAACTTATGAGACAAATATTAAAAGAAGGTGCAATGCTGCTGCCAAGTGTCTATAAAACGCTTTGCAGCTGGGCATGGATGTCGCCATAAGCGACATTCATTTCTTGTGTTTCCACTTATATTTCGTTCAATTCACTTTACTAGAACGGGAGCGGAGGAACTTGCGCTTCTTACAGAGCATAGACATTCTAAGAAACGGACTTGCGGAGAAGTTGCTCCCATCGGTATTGCGGCCCATATCGAGTCCTCAACCAAACTACTGGCGTAACCTATGCAGTCAAACCCATCGAACTTTCAGCTACAAACCGTGCACGTCCTTCGTCTTAAACCAGGGCTCTCTAAACCGCTGCCCGAGGGCCAGATCCGGCACAGGCGCTTTGTCCGTCCCGCGGACGGCCGCGGTCTTTACGGCGACGCCCGGTGACGCCCGGCCACGGTACCGGAGCTACAGACGCCAAAACAAGAGCGTAAAGAAAATCTGCACCGCGACGGTTTTTTCCAGAGCTCGAGCGAAGATATCAGCAAGAATGAGAGAAAATCTCCACCAAAACGGGGGTTCTCTCGCCATATCCTTTGTTGTGCGCATATTGTCATAACAAGCATTGCTATGGGTAGTTTCTTGTTTCATGTCCGTGTAAATAGGATCTGTGTCATAACACTCGCATATTTCATCGTGAGATTTACGATTCTTATTATTGTTCGTTTCTCCCGCGTTAATATGCCAATTAGCTCATACGCGTTTTGATTTATGCCAGGCGAATTCTCTGGGTCACATTTATTTCGCAATGTCATAATTAGCAATATTTTGCATTTAAAAATAAAGTATATTATTACGTATTCATCCGCCTTACTTTTTTAAATATTTGCTGTAGTTTTAGTTTGTGGATTGAAATGTTTATTGAGGCCTAATTATTTAGTTTTTTTGTTTTTATTTTTAGAGCGCAGCTCTTAGGCGCCCGTTTCCGGCTTGGGCGGCGTCGGAGTCGCCGTCGGCGTAACCGCGCGGTGAATGATGGGTAAATTTCCCCGCTAAATCGAGCGGAAAATTTTCCCCGATAATTTTAGTGGAAAATTTTTCCCCGCTAAATCTAGCGGAAAATTTTCCCCGCTAAATCTAGCGGAAAATTTTCCCCGCTAAATCTAGCGGAAAATTTTTACCGCTAAATCTAGCGGAAAATTTTTCCTACTAAATTTAGCGGAAAAATTTCCCCTAAATGGGGGCGAGCAGGAAAGGAGGAGGGGCATAGCCCCCTCTTCGTACCTTCCCCTCCTCAAGGGCTGCGCTCTAATTCGGCGTTACAGGGAGTTGTAAACGGCTTTCTTTTTTTTTTTTTTTTTTTCTCGTTTATATTGTTTTATTTAATTTCCGGCTTTCGAGACTGTGACAGTTCCCCAAACCGGCCCCTTTAGCTAAAATGGTTTGAGAACCCTGCTTCAAATCGTGCCATTCCCCACGAAATACCGAGACGACATTTCTTCCCCGGCGGGAGTGATGCTACGAATAAAAAGATGAGAAGCGACCAGACAGCAGAGGAAGCTGAGATCTCTGGAAAGTTAACCGCCATTTTTCAATGCCTCTTCACCTCGTGTAAATTAAATCATAGTATATATTCGCTGTAACAATATATCGATTTGTTTGACCCCGAAAATAACGATATATTGGCTTCATCTCATGGGGTGATGGGTCGTGCTGAAGCGGGGATCCAGCTTGGCAACAATCTATGCTGTTGGACACTGATCTGGGGCACTAATCGGGACACTCGGCGAAAAGGTCGGCGAGTAGTAGAACTCTCTTAAAAATGTCTGAGCGTCTACTTACCCGTAAAACACTCGAAGAGCCAATCTCTGCGATTTACGAAAACAGCTCAGCAAATGATCAGGCGGAACATCCGTTTGGACCTCAAAATGAAGTCTGCGCTGTGGCGTTGCGCAGACTTCATTTTGAGGTCCAAACGGATGTTCCGCCTGATCATTTGCTGAGCTGGTTTCGTAAATCGCAGAGATTGGCTCTTCGAGTGTTTTGCGGGGAAGTAGACGCGCAGGCAGGCAGTTCTTAGTCTAGTAGTAAGCGTTGTAAAGAAGTAGGGGGAATAGTGAGAGCCAATCGTGTACGCGCGCTGGGCGCATTCGTCACTCGCTTAAGTCGGCGAGAAATCCGGAGGAAATTGATTGGCCGGCGTCAAGGTCAAGCGTGGCTCCGGCCAATCACGGCCACCGCATTTCTCGCCGACTTTTTTGCTAAGTGTCCAGATTAAGGCCCCTGCACGAAAAAAAAAAGTTAAAAAGCGCCGTTTTTTGTTTCTGTCCTGCAGTATACCAATCACATATTTCAATTGCTAGACATTTAAAAAAAATATGTCAAGCAAACAATCCGTAAGGTGTATTATCATAAGGGACTCGCAGTTCGTAGGTACTGCAAGAAGGAGACTTGTACGATACCCAATACAAGCAATCAAATGACTTGTGATCGATTACATTTCGTAATCGTTTAATTACATTTATTAGAAACCAATAACAAGAGTAATCAGATTACTCTGGAATTCATAAAATTACTCGTATATTCCTTCCCCTCCCGAATGGCACCTTTAGTTTGTACCTCTTTCCTACAAAGGGATTCTCAAACGAAGTGACCGAGTGAAAAATGATTTAACAACTTTTTTTTATTAAGACGATAAGTAGTTTATAGTTTGGTGATAATAATCAACGAACAGCATGAAATATTCGTTTTCAAACGGCAGAAAATTTGATCGTTTCGAAAATATGAGGTAATCTGGAAAGGAACGGTTACTTCATTAAGTACTTTTCTTCTCAAGGAATCTAATTGAATATTTTTTTTTAACTAAGAGTAACTGTAATTGACACCGATTACTTTTTCTTCAGTAACCTGTACAAGACTGAGTGCAAGCAAGGATCTGTCGTAGTAGTCGTGCGTTAAACTTCTTCGAATGTTGCCTGGCTTCACTCGTCGCTTTTCACGATGTCATTGATTTAATGTCTGATTTTAATCTTTCCTGTTTGCAGAAACGCAAAGCGTACATCCTGCCCTGGATCATCACCAGCATCATTGAGTGCGCGGTATTGTTCAAATCAAGTATATTCCTCGGGTTGCAATCGGTAAGTCGATCATTATCGCACAAAGTACTCAAATACCATAAACATCTGTGGCCAACAGAGTTGCAGTTGATCTATCGATCAAGCCGCCATACGTGAATCGCGTTTTACGAGGAACGCAGCGGATCAGTCTCAGCTCTCCAGGCATGTGGCACCATGTCTAGCCTGGTCCCGTCCTCTCTGGTACATACACACTTCCTTCTCTAGTTGCTGTTTTTGAAGCTTTCAAAGCTCGCGAAGTCTTCTCGAAGCGGCTCAGAGTCCTCTGTCCTACCTCTTGGGTTTTTTCTTTCTTTGTTTTTTTTCCCCACTCTCGCGTTGCGAAGCCGGCGGAGCTGGCCACGCAGATGTTTGGGCGCAAGTGACTGGTTGCCAGCCAAATACCTTAGACCGTAGCCGCGGCGGCACGTCTACCCCTTAAAAAAGGCTTTACAGCGTACTATGAGCACGGAACGAAACGCAAACGCTGGAACGCGTGGTCTTCGGTATATGCTGCGCTATCTGGAGGCGATAAAACTGTGCAGTGAGGGTGCTCGCATTAAAGAAAGCAGACACTCCTGCATTCCGCAGTCTAATCAACCGATAGGTAGTGCAGCATGTATAGAGAAGGCCAGGCATCCAAGGTTACGACCACGATTGCGAGTGCACTACAGTTGAAGCCCATCATTAATTGCCATTATTATTGTTTGTTTGTTTCTGTGTTTCACAAAATCGCGCATTTCAACAAAGATCTGGGCCGACTTGCTAGAAACAGCGTCTCAGCTGAGGGAAAGAAAGCGCTGCCAAAGCCAGCGCACGAGCTGAGCGGGACTCAAGCCGTGTCTCAAGACAGCCCTTTGCACCGCTTTCTTTTACCCAGTCTCAGCTGAGACGCAGCAAGCCGGCCCCGGTCTCCAAAGGGTTCATGCAACAAAAACTAGTAACGTGAAAGCGGATAATCCTTTTCTTCCCAAGTGGATTGCGTCAAGGTGACGCTCGCTCATGAACACGTGAAAACAGTTTACTGAATTTCGTATCTTACGAAAGTGAAATGTTTCATGGTACTCGTCCACCAAACTCTTGGCTTCTGCTTTGGTGCGCACACTTTTGGCTACGTCAAATTGCCAGTGGACGCATTGTTGAGCTTGTTCACGCGACCTCTTACGACTGACTGAAGCGAGGCAGGAAATTCTCAGTCCTCTGTTATTTTCCTCGAAGGTGCCCGCGAGCGCATGGATCATTGCAACGACCGTGGCCTTCTTCAGCGTTCAGGTAAGCGGGCCCTCAATGCCGAGATTCGTTCCGTCAAATTCATTGCTTCGAGGTCAATACAGAAGACTGAAACACTGCTTAATCCTGACGCTTCACGGCATCAGCATGAATATCGAACGACTAATTGTACAATTATCGAAAAAAGATGTACAAACATGTCTAGTGATTCCCATGCGTATCCCACTTTTAACTGCCCCAACGTAGTTACCTCTGGTATTTTGTTAGTGAGTGTTTTCACAATGTGCAATTCTCACCAAAATTATACGGAAGACGCACTGCACAGTCGGGGACAAAAGCCTCCAGGACACGCGAGCTGCGGCTGAAACGCATTGTTCTGCCATCTGCCGGCGGGTCGCCTGGTTTCGAGATCACACAAAAGCGCATGCGCGTCCTCTGCAAACATGAGTGTTTTCCCGCTCTTCTGCGGCACAGCACCTAACTCGGAATCGGGCGCGTGGTACCGCCTCGGAAATAGCGGCTGACGAGCGTCTGCTACACATTCCGAAACACGAGATACCGCCTGGGGCATTGCGCCGCATTTCGCCGTGTCAGCGCGCCTTGCTTTATAACCAGTTGAGTTTACAGGACGCGCATGCGCTTTTCTGTGATCTCGAAACCAGGCGACCCGCCGGCAGATGGCAGAGCAATGCGTTTCAGTCGCAGCTCGCGTGTCCTGGAGACTTTTGTCCCCGACTGTACCTTACCTCGTTGTAACGCTATCCTGGCGGCTGCCGAAGGAACGCTCCATGACATCGCGCTCACTGGAACAGCCCGAGCAGGGGAGGCCGCTTGTTCGAGGCTGGAAATGCCGCCGGGTCGAAGACAACGCAGCGATTCCGACTGCCGAGTCAGCTATGCTTTATGGTACCCCCTCGCACTACGATGCATAGCCAGCCGGCAACGGCCAGGCGGCGCCAGCAGGGTGAGAGCGCACGGTTATATCCTATCTCGCTAGAACTCGGCAAAGGGTGAACGATAAGCCCCACATTGCGTGCCGAAGGCTTCGAAATGCGCGAAGTATACGAGCGCAACGCACACACATTGGAGCATGACGCAGCGAAAAGCCTGATACTTCTCCGGAGTTGAGGCGCGCTCCGGTGATACGCGGTCACGTTCCGATTGGCCCGCCAAGGCCGTAGCTTCCGCTCTACTGGCACCTTACGCGATCACGGCTTCCTGGGATACCCAGTATTTCTTGCTTCAGACACTAGGCTAAGCGGCGCCACCGGAGTAATAGCTCACGTTTGAACAATGCAGGCACCACTCCCAGGGCTACCCAATATTTCTTGCTTCAGTCGCTAGATGTCGCCAAACCAAACAGCATTGCAAGGCGGCTGTCGAAAACGCGGCATCCACCGTTCAGCGGCATTTGGACCTTGAGCGAGCGGCCTCCATTAGTTGCTATACGTCATGGAGCAGACAGCTCTCGGGCTGCGCCAGTATAGCACTCCCACACAATAAGACAGTGTGCATGTTCCCTATAAGTTTGGGGGGGGGGGGGGGGGGGGGGGGGGATCGGTGGACTACAGGCTGTATAAGTATCCACACAACCACCAAACCCAATCAATTATAAGTTTGGTGGGCACTTGTGCAGTGGCCCAATTTTTTAATATCAAGCGAGCGTCGACCGCCGGGACGGCCAGCGCCGTGCCGCGAAGGAGTGCGGTGATACGGGAAAGATTAAGCGCGAGCGCACAGAGCCCTTTCTGGTGTGAGCGTCGTCTGCTAGGCTGTTCCGTGGAAGGCAGGGCGCTTGCAATGTCGAAGTGTATCGCCGATACGCCCCTCCTCTTGGAATGAGTTCACAATCCTATTGATGTTAGCCAGTGTAACCCCGACAGTTGTTGTTATATCCCTTTGCGTCATGCCGTCCATCGACATTCTCACCGCACGTTCCCGCGTTTCTATGGGCACTCCAGGAGCCCTAAACTCGTCAGATACAAAGTTGTAGCCGAAAGTTCGCGGAGCGCGCCGATTGGATGTCGACGAGAAAAACGCGAAGTCATTGTCGTGATTGTCCAATCGGCGCGCTCCGTCAACTTTGCCTCCAACTTTGTATTTGACGAGTTTAGGGCCCCTGGAGGCATAAAAATGTGCGCGCGCTTGCTAGCCAAAGAAAAGTGCGACTACCTCGCTACATAAGCTAGATGACGACAGCAACAACGCAGTTGATACTACAAAACACCAAGCGAAAACCCTGTTTCTACTCCGTTTTACTTTGTGTTGTACCGCAGCCGACGCTACGAACCATCTTGGCCAGTCCATCGCTAAAAGTGAGTCACGTGGCCTTCCCGTTGGGCACGACTGCACGGGAAGCACGATGTCACGTGGCAGGGCAAAAGCACTGGATTGGTTTTGATGGCTCGTAGCATTGTTTGCGGTATAGAGTTTAATGCATCGTTGCGTTCAGTTTGTCGCGTCACCGTATTTTTCATTTTTGTTGGTGCAGAAATGTAAACGCAGACATAAAATTAAAAAGAATACAGTAAATTAAACTCGAGATAGCGTGCGGTTTATGCCACGCCTGAGCAGTATCGCGCAAGCAAGAGCAGATAATGAACAGGGGCTGAGTGTGGGCAACGGAATAGCCTAGCAGACGACGTTCGCAATGGAAAGAGCTTTGTGCGTACGCGCTTAATCTCTGCCGTGACGCCACATTTCTCCGCGGCACAGCACTGGCCGTCCCGGCGGTCGACGCTCGCTTGATATTATTAAAAAAAACTTGGGCCACTGTACATGTGTGAGATATGGCGTACAAATCTTAATAAATCCAGTCACGCGTCTAACCCTGCCGTGGCCGTGTGGTTACCGCGCTTGACTGTCGCGCAAAAGGTGTAGATTCTATTCCAGTCAGAGGACTGTCTTTTTATTTATGCTTTCAACTTGGCCTTCCCGTACGTTTAAGAACATGCTCGCCTGATCGTGTTCCGATTGTTCTACGCACCGAAAGTTCTACGCCGAATGATCCAGAAACCAACGAGGATACATAAGGGACTCCGCAAGGCGAGCGGAGTCAGTTTCGCCCCAGCGTTCGACTCTGCTGTCACGGCGTCACGCCGACGCCCGCGACGCTCCGCTTTCTACTGTTCCCTTTTCATTCTTTGGGCACAAGTTCACCCCATTAAACGTTTAGTTTTTGCAGCTATTATCGCCTCATCACTCGTCATTCGTGACAGTATTTTGGCATTAAAAATGTTTAAAGGCTGTCCATGTAGGAAAGGACCGACATAAAAAATGAAAGCCGTTTACAAATCCCCGTAACGCAGAATTGGAGCGCAGCTCTTGAGGAGGAGTAGGGAAGGGTACTGAGGGGGGTCACGTCACCTGCGGGTAGTCACGTGACCCCGGGGGGGTCACGTGATCTCGGGGAGGGGGGGGATCACGTGACCTCGGGGGGGGGGGGGGGGGGGGGGGTCACTTGACCTCGGGGGTCACGTGACCCCCCCTCCCCTCCTTTCCCCCCCCCCCCCCCCCCCCGGTTACGAAGACGCCGACGCCTCTCAGGCTGGAAACGAGCCCCTAAGAGCGCTGCGTTCTAAAATGCGAGACAATGTCATCTGGGGACCGTTCACTAAATACACCCCTTTCAAGATACTGTCCTCTGTTGGCAGCTGTGGAATCCCTGCACAACGGCGTTCTAAAACCCCAACGTCACGGCACACTTTATGTGTTTAATTGTAGTAGAAGAAGACACACCCGCAGAAAAAGGTGATGAGCGCAGTGACGTTGCACTTTCGACGCTATTTGATTGGCTCGTCGGCTCCTGGCGTTGGCCGCGCTCCGACGTTTGCCATCATATGGAATGACTTGCACGTTTCGCAATGTCAGTTGTTCCGTCATTATGCAGGGGTTCCGACTTTCTGATAATCGGCACGCGAATGTTAAAAGGGCTCTATATGGCGGCCAAGACATCGCCCGCAACACTCGCGAGCGAATTTTGTAGCGTGAGTTACACTGTCCGAGGTTGAGCAGTTTCGCGTGGCTTTCAAAGAGCCGTGCTGCGCAAGCGCGAGGAGCAGTGACGTCACACGGCGCACAGCTGGCGCGCCGGAGCCGCCGCCGCCGCGCGCGCCTCGCCGGTCTGCGCATGCGCGAGGAGCAGTGGCGTCACATGGCACACAGCTGGCACGCCGGAGCCGCCGCCGCCGCACACGTCTCGCCGGTCTGCTCATTCCAGAGGAGTGACGTCATAGCCGCGGCAGACGCACTGGCGCCGCCGCGTGCCCAGCTGTGCGCCTCCGTTGCGCAGTAGCCAAGTCTGACGCTGCACCGGAGCCGCCTGAGAGCGCCTCTCCTTTTGTGCGCATAAGCTCACGCTACGTATATCCTGGCATAGGCGAGCTAAGCCACCGCAGGTTTTGTGCATATTCTACGTATTATCATGTTGTCCAATTGGAAGACCAAATCAGGAAGTCTTTTTTATACGTGATGAAAACAGCTCAGACGACGAACATGAAGTAAGAAAACTAACACCGCAAGACGGAGCTGTACTCACAACTGACACTTGATTGCTGAAACGGCAGAAAAAAAGACGTAACCAATAATAAGAACAATAATAATAATTGTATTGCAAATGGACAAAACGTATGTTAAGTCAGACCTGCCTAAGCCACGTTGGGCTTGACTGGCAGCGTCTTACAATCAGTGAAAGATTGTAAGAATAAAAAAAGATTACATCAAAAACGCACACTCATCTACCTAGCACCAAATTATCTTCGGAACTGAAATTCTTATAATGACGTTGTTTGAAATGCTCCACCTCCGAAGATAATGTGGTGCTTGGCAGATGAGTAGGTGTTTGTTGATGTAACCTTTTTTTTTTTTTTTTGGCTACGTTGTTTCCTTTTTCGTATTTTCACTAATAACGCTTTAGTTGTGAGTATAGCCGCGTCCTGTCGAGTTTGTTACTTCACCTCGCCTTCGTCGTTTCAGCTGTTTTCATTCTGTATAACGCTCACCAACTAGCCGAATTCGCAGCATTAATACCTATTAATTTTGTCTTCGTTTTTTTTTTTTTTCGTGGTCTTTTAGTAGGCTATTTCTAGGCTGATGAATCTCATCCAAAAAGTGTGTTGAGTGTTACATTTTGTTTTTGTGTTTGTCCCTGGGTGTCAGAATTTGTAGAAGTGTTGAGATACAGGCGTTTGAATAAACGACAGTTTTTTTTTTTTTTTGCTTTTTCTTACAAGATTGCTCGTTATGGCTGTATACAAGCAAAGCCCAAAGGCACCAGAAGCCGGTATGAAAGATATGCGAATAATACCGTCATCAATAAACTTCTCCGGAAAATCCCACAAAGGTATATATCGGTATCTGTGATGTCTCCGCCCATCTGTTTCTGTGTGTTCTGAACTGGCAGTGGTAGGTGAGAAGGAATTGAGTTACTTCCGGGATGTACGGAGCGTCCTGCCCGAGCGTACTACATAGGAACGGCCCATCAATCGCACCGCTTTTCCAGTTCAGAACACACACAAACAAATGAGCGGGCATATCACAAATACCGATGTACACCCTTCTTTGCTCGCGTCCTGCTTTCTTTGCTTTCTGAAATCGTAGAATGCTAGACAAACATGAACCGCTCTTTCTGTTTATAGGTACATCTCCCGTGCCTTACACGGGAGAAGTACCTATGAAGAAATGGTCTATTGAAATCTGAATACCGGCAAAGCTTCGGCTTAGCTAAGATGGCACTGCAAAGCCAAGACTTTGCTGAGGCATCTTTTTGGCAAAGGTATTTCGGGGCAATGTGGCAGTCGAGACATCTGAGGAAACATCGGTTGGCAGCCTCAGGCTTATTTTCGAGTTATCTGCTCAGCGAGTCTTACGTTACTTTCGTTGCAGCTCTTCTACATCGCCTGCGTGATCCTTTACTTCAGAAGGCTCAAGAAGATGGAGAGGGAAATCCAACCTCCAGAAGTGTACAAGTGTTGACCTGCGAGCTTTTTGCCAAGCCTTTCGTGCTTCTGATGCGAACACGTGCGGCGTCCTGGTACAGGACTGACGTGCGACAAAGACCAACAGTGCTGGACACGCAGTGCCACATTGGATGAACTCCCACGTGTCGACTTGGTGCCTCGAGAAGAAAGAAATTCAGGCGCTTCGCCAACCTCGGTTCGTGTGCGGTTTCCGTGCAGTCTTCAAGCTCCAACTTTCAGTCGGCATGCAAGATTAATCGGTACTCCCAGTTATAGAAGTTCTATTCGAGGTTACTTCAGATGAGTGATTGATAAGCTCTAGCGTAAGACGAAGGAAGCTAAATAAATGTAGCCGCGGATGCAAGGTATGTGGAGAACGGCGTACGAAGTGGAGAAACTAAAGTTTTCTAATTCAACATGGTAGAGATGAAGGGGATTTCAAGATAATTGCTCGTGCTATAACTCTATCCATAGCGGACGCAGCAAACCACGTCGTGGTAACAAGAAGGGAATAAGGTAAGTCTAGATCCCTGATGCCTGCAAGGGGCCGTGTCAGTCGATTGTTATCGTAATATTGCATGGCCCTTGAGGTTATGCTTTTTCCTCGAAAGTTGTCTTCAATCGGCCTTGTTGTATGGCCCTGCCCCTTCCATGTTGATATGATGCTATGAAAATATCGTCAGTAAAAACATTGATGCGAATTTTATAAAGGATGCTAATCATGTCTAAGAAGTTTAGCAACGCGATTATCGCAATAATTCTTGTTTCTGTTAGATGCGTTATTTTCGTTGGCAATTTCATTGCATCGCGCATCTTTAAAAATGAAAAAAGAAATAAAAATAGGTTTGTTTTTTAATCCTGATCATTTTTTGCAACTCCCTGCGTTGTACGTGCCTCGACAACTTATGAAACAATTTCCCGAACTGCACTAATGGCAAAGCCGCGGATTGCTTGCCTAAAACAAACCTAACAAACAGTGAAATTCGCGAGTGTCATAATAAGGAGTTTTCCTCGATCGTCCAGGCGCCAGGGGAGTATCAGGGATCTTTATCGGAGTCATCAAATCAATCTAGTAAAACTCCGAATTACAACACCAATACTCGCTATAGTGTAGCCTGTTGAAAAAATTAAGTTTTTCAGCGAGCCATTCAAAAAATAAGCGAAATGTTTGTAGTGACAGAAACGAAATGAACGAGATTTAATTGGTCAAAATGCCGTCAACTCGCTTACGTTGAAACAGGATATGACGACATCAAGTACTGGAGCATCGATTCACGTGTGGATTCCCGTATCGTCTTCAAGCTCCAACTTTCAGTCGGCGTACAAGATTCATCGGTACTCACATTTTTAGAAGTTCTATTCAAGGTCGCTGCAGATGACCGGCTAACTTTGACTTAATATCGAATCCGACTTGGTAGAACTGGTTATCTAGTTTATATTGACCCTGTTAATATGAGTACCCCCGCTATATGGACACAATTTTCGGGGACGAACCGGGTAAGTACATGCATTTTTCTCCCGATAACAAATCGTCCACATTTCAAATTACGGACGATTTATTCGGGGACCGGAGTTGTTCATATTAAAGAGGCATGACTGTGTATTCCGTGTAGTGTGACGCAAGAAAACTAGCACATTAAGGCGACCACATAAAGGAAGCTCGCTCTTTCTACAAAGAGACAACAGCAGAGCATCATTATCTTCTATTGCCTTTTCTATCTTGGACGTCATTAATATCCAAAGCGTGGAAATTAAAAAAAAAAAGAAATCAAGTTTGTCTTCTACTTTATGATAAAAACATCGCAGCGTTGTTATTTGAAGTGCATAATTTGCAGAGCTGGCAGTAATGTAATTACTGTAATGAAATTACTGTAATTTAATTACTTGTTTCAGTAATTAGTAATGTAATTCATTACTTTTTGTAGCAGGTAATTTAGCAATGTAATGAATTACTGCAGCGACGGTAATTGTAATTAAATTACCTAATTACTTTTTCGCACCAGGCATATTTTTTTTGTCCACAATACACGAGAGCGCTTTTCTTTTTATTTTACTTTTTCTTATTCCTCTACACCTTTCCAAAAAACGCTCTTTGGCCGCTGCTATGTTGCTGCTGCTAATGCGGCTGGTGCGACTCTCGCGCCCGCTATCAGCTAGACATTTTCTGCCACTCTCTTGAACTGTGAAAACCCGCTCAGCGCGATTCTCTACCCATGTTTTCCGGTTTTGCATTCGACGTTTTCTGGCCCCTCTTGAAAGTTTCCGCTTACTTTTTCTGATGCATCCTGCGTACCCTCTCTGTGTTATCTTCCACTGTGAGAAATAGGGCTGGTAAGTGCCTGCCATTCGAGCTTTTCTGCTCGACATTCTCGGGAAACGAAGGAGCGGAAGTAGGTCGAACTAAGGCCCCTGGTGGAACGGCCTCGCCGCGATTTTGCGAAAAATGACAATTGTTCTCCCCCCACCCAGAGATAATCCGCGTTGGGTCCTCAGTCATCTCCAAAAATAGTTGTCCGGGTTGGGGTGGGAAACGGATCAATCGCATGCGTTCCTCTGTCCATCGGTAAACATGCAACAGAGAGTTCTAGCTGTGTGCCATGAACTGTGTAAATAATGTAAATAATGTTATCTGTAAAAGGAAGTTATCAATACCTCCTTTATATTTAAAAGTATACAAAAGTAATGCGAAAGTAATGTCATTACTTTTAAAAGTAATTAGTAATGGTAATTAATTACTTTCTGGCTGTGGTAATTTGTAATGTAATTTAATTACATTTCAGCAATTTTCAGCAAAGTAATTAGTAATGTAATTTAATTACAAAATATGAGTAATTTGGCCAGCTCTGATAATTTGTACGAGCATCTGATTTCATATACTTCGAGGAAGAACCTGAAGAGTCGGCAGTGTAAGCAGCTGCCACTGCATCCTGAATCTTGGATCAGGCACGTAAACAGGGCGTGGAAGAATCATGGAAGCCGGGCGCCCCCTCCCCCCCCCCCCCCCCCCCCCCACCCACCCCAAAAAATTTTTTTTTATTTTGCTGGGTTTTTTGTTATAAACAGCCCCCGAATCAAGATCCTGGCTACGTGCCTGCCTTGAATGCAGGTTTGGCAGTTCCGTCATGGTCGGAGACCTTAGCTGGGAGTTCAGACCCTGACCCTGCAGTGATGTTGCTTCAAGAGCCCCATACCACGCGCTAGCGAATGGCGCCATCAGCCCGTAGGCCCTGCATGAAAATAGATTAGAACCGAGCCCATTCCACTCCGGGCAAAAGGCACCTGTTCCATTCGTTTTCCATTCCCCCAGCGCTGCCGCCATTCCATTCCCATTTCATTCCGGGGTCGCGAAAGTGCGGAATGATTTAGGAATCATTCCAACTCTGGAGTGGCAACTCCGTAACACTGATGCAAAGCTACAGGCGTGTTTTTGAACATTTTAAAGCTCTTTTTAATATAAAAAGCCGCTTCGAGGCAGTGGCATAGCCAGGGAGAAAGGCTTATGGGGTCTTCATCCTCCCCCCCTTCCCTTCCCAAAACCCAGGCGATCCTATAATATAAAGTAGCTACAATTAACCTACCTGTGCTCGCTTCACGCGGGGAATGCGTAATGGAGTTTCTTGTTTTTTGTGTGTTGTATTTCTTCCCTCCTGTGTAGACCAAGAGGTCCACAGTATTTCAAATATTAAATAAATAACGGATATCCAAGCCACCTCAGCCCCCCCCCCCCCCCTTTTTTTTTTTCCTTTTCGACAAAACGTTCCTCGATATGGCACTGCTTCGAGGCACTGTTATTCATAAAAAGATCACTCACAAGGCCATCGTACATATTTCTCGAATGAATTAACCGTTTTAAATCAGCATAGATGCGAACTATACTTCGTTTCAGCTTCGGTTCGAGCGCGGCCGATGTTATGAGCCGAAGGGCCAATCAAACACCGCAAAAAGCGCAGTGTCATGGCGTGCTCTCTTCGCTTGATAAGACTAGCCGGCGGAGGAGCACGCGCAGAGAGACGGTGAATACCGACTGGTCCTATCAACTGCAGAGAGCACGCCATGACGTCGTGCCTCTTTCGCTGTTTGATTGGCTCTTCGGCTCATAACATCGGCCGCGCTCGGAGCGAAGCTGAAACGAAGTTTTTTATTATAGCATAGCCATTCCGTGCTATTACATAGGGCGTCGTCTGCTCACACCCTACCCGCTCCGTCACATGAGAGCGACCGCGAGGTGGTGCCACAGTGACTTATATTTAGGGTTGTTCGTTCTCGGGTTTTATATTTTTCTAAATTCGGGGGGTAAAAATCGGGTGCTATTTTTCAGGCTGATAATCGGGGAGAAATCGGGTTTTTTGAGGAAACATTCGGAAATTCAGGTTTTTTCGGGTTAAATACACGAATGTACTCAATAATACATTAGTTTTTTTGTTTTTGTTTTATATTGGAGGGTACTACGAGCTGTTTATTGCTAACGCGTTAAAATTAGGGATGTGTTTCAAGCTGGTAACTGGGAGAGGGGGCATCAGGGTTTTCCAGCTTCGACTGCCGTCGGTCGCTTCAAGGGAAGTACCGCCCAAGGAATCCTCCTCTCCCTCAGGTGCCAACAAAAATCCCGACCGTTCGAGGGACGGTCGTCTTCGATCAGATATTTCGCTATGGAATAAACCTGTCAAGTTTTCCCGATCTGTTTACGCGACTGACTGGCTCGAACGTTGTTCGTGAGAAAGGTTGGACGTCAGCGCGATGGCCATGCTACCCGAGAGACCATGCTGGGTGTCGAGACCTAACAGCGGTCGAAGGGGTATTGATAGTGCATTTCCCAAGCTGCGTGCAGCAGGGCCGAAGCTACGTGGCGTGCCGAGGCGGTTCCACCTGCACAGCGGGGGGACGGAAATGTCCCTCCGAGGCCCCCACGCCTATTGTCGCTTTTCCGCAGCCGGCCTCCGTAGAATTCCACGGTGTGTTAGGCGCGCTCGTTGGGCGGTTGGTTGAGAGCCGTGTAGCGTCCACAGTGCTGCACGCAGGTTGCGAAATGAACTACAGGTCACTGTTGTCCCGAAGTAGGGTAGCTAGCGTGTGTGCACGGCAAACTCCGTGCGGCGTAAAAATAAAGAGGTTAGTCATGTGGTTTTGGAATTCGGGGAGAAATCGGGTTCAACCCGATTTTCCTGAAACATGTTCGGGGTGTAAAAATAGGGTAAAATCGGGTTTTACCCGAAAACGAACAACCCTACTTATATTTAGCTCCAGATGCGTTGCTTTTGTGCTCCTTTGCCCCAAGTTCGCAGAAAGAGGCTGCATCCTCTCTTCCTAATGGCACCCTTCGTTTTCTCCCAGAAACAGGTCTCCATTAGCGTCTGACAAATCGCCTCATTCCATTAAAAAATTAATCGAGACTTGACATAAGAATTTTTAGGGGAAGTGTTCCGCCAGTCTTGGCGGAACACTAATAAGACCAAAAACAACACGGTGTCTGTTTACTACAAGTAGCATGTTTTAGGAGACCGTTACCGTGATCTGCGGTGGCCACGGTACGGCTGGTAAGG